AGAAAGAAAGAAAGAAAGAAAGAAAGAAAGAAAGAAAAGAAAGAAAGAAAAAGAAAGAAAAGTGTTTGGAAAGATGTAGAGAAATTGGGAACATGCAGCACATGCATCTCAGAACTTAAAGTAAAATGAAAGAAAGAAAGAAAGAACATAACAAGTGTTTAGAAAGATGTAGAGAAATTGGAACATAGTGCACTGCTGGTAGAAACATAAAATGATACAGCAGGACAGCGCTGTGGAAAACAGTACAGTGGTTTCTCAGAAAATTAAAAACAGAATTACTATATGATCCAGCAATTCCAGTTCTGGGTATATGCCCAAAAGAGTTGAAAACAAGGTCTCACATATTTGTACACCCGTGTTCATGGCAACATTAGTCACAATAACCAAAACATAGAAGCAAACCAAGTATCCATCAACAGATAAACAGAAAAGCAAAATGTGGTATTTGCATATAATGGAGTATTATTCAGCTTTTAAAAAGAAAGAAATTCAGGCGGAAGCGGGAGCCTCTGGCAGGGCGGGAGCCTGGAGTGGGCGGCGCACAGATGTGCACGGGGAGACCCGCTGTAGGTGCAGCTGACTCTGCCCGCCCCCACCTTTCCCTGCATCTGGCCGCCAAGAAGGACTCGCTGGTGCTGCTGGGCCGTGTCCCCGCGCACCCGGACTCCCACTGCAGATTTCCAAATAGGATAAATATGAATAAAATTATATTCATTAGTCACAAAAGTAATATTTGTATTAGTATTTTGAAACGTACATATATACATATACACACCTACATGCTCACACTCACACGTATAATACCATAAAGAAAATAACAGAGATACGAACCCAAATTCAAATGAATTAACTGAAAATCCTGTAATCTTTCATTTGAATTGTAAACATCAGTGTGAACTCATGATTCATTTTTCTCTTTCTAAAAAACATGTCATCTCTAGTTCTATTTGCTGCAAAGGCCTAGAAACAATGATAGCCTGGTAGGAACGAGCATCCCTGACATCAGATAGTGCTTTCGACATAGCATTTCCTCCCAAAAGGAGCCAAATCTTTTGGGAGAAAAGACTGATCCTAGGTTAAAGCAAAAAATATTCACAATGAATCTGTAACATCTTGTTTTGCCAGTGAGCAAGCAAGCCACCAAACTTTAATGAGATCTGTCAAAAGGAACCAAAAATCAACTTTAAGGGGCTCCCACTGGCCAAAAATGACACAATTTGAGCATCAAAAAAAAAAAAAAAAAAAAAAAATCACAATGACTTCAATAAATTGAAAGACAGCAATTATTGATGAATTCATGAATTCATAATAATACTTTAAAAATCTCATTCTGAACACTGGAATTCATTAGGGTACCTTCTCATTATTTTGAAAATTGTTAAATAAAGGGAAAGACTCAAGCATTTATCAAGCCTTTCCAATATGAACTTTCCTTCAAGGTAAGCAAATAGTTGATGAGGAAAAGTCCCTCTTTATGAAAAATATTACTGCTAATAAAGGCAGAAGGGATGATAGACTCAGAAAATCACCATTTTACAGCCCTTATGAAATAATGGATCTAGGAAATGATCATCACCAATTATCAAACCATTAGTTGAAATGTTGATGGGGAAATTTATAACTGATGGATCAAGCTGCCAGCACCTAAACCCAGTGACTAATTTTAACATCATTAAACGTTGGACAACCAGACAATATGTGCCTCCTAATAACTATGGAAGTACACATATCCACTATAAAATTGTTTTGCCAAATAATATTAATAAAAGAACTTTAATCAAGCCTCTGTATCTAACTAATTACGAAAAATATGGAATATAGAGGAATCAGTTAAACAATACCGAGAGGATGTATTCAGCCAAATCCAGTATATGGGAAACTCTAAACAACAAACAAACTGGTTTCTTCACCAAATAAATGACATTTACAAATGGACAGTCTGGCTCAGTGGCTCACACCTGTAATCCAATACTTTGGAAGGCTAAGGCAGGAGGATTGCTTGAGCCCCGACATTCCAGAGCAGCCTGGGCAACACAGGGAGGTCTCATCTCTAAAAAGAACTTTTAAATTAGCCGGCCACGGTGATGTGCACTTGCAGTCCCAGCTACTCAGGAGGCTGAAGTGGGAGGATTGCCTCAGTCTGGGAGGCTGAGGCTGCAGTGAGCTGTGATCTCGCTACTACACTCCAGCCTGGGTGACAGAACAAGACCCTGTCTCAAAAAAAAGTGAAGTTGGGGGTGCTGTTATAACGGCAGCTTAAGAGACATGCCAACCAATTGCAATGTGTACATCTTGCTTGGATCTGAACAAATCAACTGTGAAAAAGAATACACAACGAAGGAACTTTGAATATTGAGTGTAAAATATTAAGGAAGTATCATTCATTCTATGTGGCTATGCCTTTTTAAAGTGTCCTTACTGTCAGTACAGGGTCACACATGCCAGAGCAGTATCTTGTACTAGCAGAAATTGGCTTTTCTTCTCTTTTATTATGATTTTGTTTTAGAGGCGAGGTCTCGCTCTGTCACCCAGGCTGCAGTGCAGTGGCACAATCACAGCTCACTGCAGCCTCGAACTCCTGAGCTCAAACCGTCCTCCTGCTTCACCCTTCTGAGTAGCTGGAACCACAGGTGTGCACCACCACATCTGGCTATTTTTTTTTAATTTTTGGTAGAGATGGGGTCACGCTATGTTGCCTAGGTTGGTCTTGAGCTCCTGGCCTCAAGGGATCCTCCCCTGTCAGCCTCCAGAGGCTTTGGGATTACAGGCATGAGCCACCATGCTTAACCAGAAATTGACTTTCAAAGGAATGAGTTAGCCCACTCCTGGGCAAAGACTATTTCTGGTTGTTCAAATCATTAGGTAGTTGATTATTGGGGTAATTGATTATTTATAAGGGATGGATTCAGCTGTTACTATCTAAATCAACTGATTAATCTTAGCGTTTCTGAAATGAACCAGACATAATGTGCCTCAAGATTTGATGGAACAGAACCTAACATAATGCTTGGCTCACAATGGTGCCTAATAAAATTTTGTTAAAAGTGGGCTCCCATCATGGCCCCAGACCTACTCGTCTACTGCACTATCTTTCCTTTTTAAATTCTTCCCTCTGCAATATATAACTGCTTTTAGCTCAGGCTTAAGACCACCAATGATCTACCTTATAACAGTGCTGCAAACACTGCTGCCATTCCCATCATTCCCATCACAAGCACCATTACAGACTCTGATTCTGTTCCTGTTAGTCAGAGTTCTCTCAATTCTTGCTCCATGTGGAAGCAGGCTTTTTCCTTCTCAGAATGACATCCTTTGGAATGTTTGGCCCAGAAGTGACCATAGCCTCTCTAAAGCCTCTTCAGGTGGATAGCTCCACATGCCAAGGAGAAACTGACGCCACATAGCTGGGCGAAGGGTGTCTACCTCCCTGTACCTCCCCGTGGTGTATGCCATCTCTACAGACGACTCTTTACCAAGGCATCGAAATGGCTCTGGGATCCTTCGTTCTCTCTTGTCTCAGAATTCGACTCTTTCTGAGGTACCACCTTCATCTCCCAACCTTCCTTTGTGCACAGAGACAAATAGAGTTGTTCATCTTAGTGGCCTTCAATTAAAAAAAGACCTGAGGGACCTGCCTCCACATCACAGAATTCCAGAGCTCTGCATGTAAATGGACCCATCCAGGATACTCACTACCCATAGAGAAATACAAAGCCATCTCTTCTGGGAACAAAAATGAAACACAAGAGGAGGACGCAGCAGGCACAGGCGGTGTTTAGAATAAAAGGAAAAGGCTGAGCAAGCAAATTAAAGCCTTTTCTCTGAAAAGTAAAGCAAAGCAGAGAGAGTTACCATAAGGGTTTCTAATGTTGAAGCAGCAATTAATACCCCAAATGGAACCTGAACAAGAGCTGAGCACAGCAGCACAATATTTCATCCTCCAATAAAAAGTTCAGAAAGTTCACAGTGAGCGAACGACATTTTCTACCTAATCCCGGTAAGGGACACCCGTTACACAAGGCAAAATTTTAAACAGACACAGTTCAAACATATAATTAATTTATTTCAATAGATCGAAAAATCAATACACACATGGATACATGGGTAAACAGGCTATAGAAACAGACTCTTTCCTCTAAATATGCACATTATTAACTCTTGTTTAAATCATGTTTGTGCTATCGCTTTGACTGTTAGATGTTGCTTTTCCCAAAAACGCTGGGCCTGGTTAAATCGTTTACTAGATTCCTTCTCTTTAGCTCCTGTTCAGGAAAAATCCACAGGCCCTAATCAAAAGTCATCACTTTTACTTACATCACTGAGATTGCAGATACATTGCTCAGAAAATGAACGGGACTGACATGAAGGCAGATGACACCGGGGCCAAACCACTGGTCAGTGAATAGTAAAGTGATCCACATCTGTTTTGTCCTCTCCAAATGATTTGACCATTAGAACATTTCCCTGAAGTAAAGTATTATACCTGCTCCCGTTCCACCTACTGCCAAACTGAGAAAGCATCCATTTGTAATCTATTCACATACAGAGTGTAGTTGAGTTTATTTTTTAATCATTTAGCAAAGACCTAATAGCACTCGCTAAGAACTGTTTGTGCATCCATGCAGGAAGCATGCAGCTACTGCGCCCTACGCCATTCCACACTGGCCCCTTTACACCAAGTGTGTGTGTGTGTGTGTGTATGTGTGCGTGTGTGTGTGTGTTTCAGGGAGGTGGGGGTGGGGGCATGTACACTGCCATTAAATCAGACCTCCACTTATTTGTAATAAACACTTGGCAGACGGAAAGAAAAATTCTCAATGGCTATTTATTAAGCTCCCGACATCCTTGGGGTGTCCCGTGGGGCGCTGTAATTACAGAAAACGTTTTCGACTCTGCTTCTTTTTGGACTGCCCGGCTGGAAGGCCCGGGCAGTGGGCTATGGTAACCACTCTTCATTTTCCTGGCCTATTGTAACCCTAATGAGATCCATTCTGATTGCAATTATGACACTGCGCAGCAGGTGAAGCCATATGGAGCGTGGTCATCTTGAAGCAGAAGCTGAAAAGGGGGCTTTTGTCTACCTGGCTCTGCACATGCATTTGCTAAAATCAGATCCCACCTGGTCCTGCAACAGCCCTGTGAAGAATGGGAACTGTCTGAGGGCTGAAGCTTCAATGCATGCCCACGTTACAAAAGAGGGGGAAAACAACTGCTGAGTGCCTACCATGTGCCAGGTGCTGTGTTAGGCTTTTTCTCATGTCATCACATCAGCCTCTCAGTGAGCCAGTTATCACACAGTATTCTACAAAAACTAAGACCCAGAGCGGTTATTGGGCCTGCCCTAAGTTGCACAGCATGAAAAAGACAGCACTAGGATGACCATGACAGCGCCCAGTCTCCTGACTCTAACACTTCAATGTTTCCTGTTACAAGAAGTTGTCATTGAAATCTCAAACTTTCTGTTGCTTTGTTTTGTTTTGTTTGTATTGCTTGCCTTGTATAAACATATTTTCATAAAAGATTCCTTTTTCCAGAGGACGCCTAAGCTCTTTTTGTGCCATATTACATGACGACTGAGTGGAGGCAGCTACTGACTACATACAAACCCCCAGAGCCCACCTATCCTTACCATCTTCCATTCAGGTGTGGATGGGTTAAACATCAGATCCC